GCTGGTCTAGACAGTTACTTATCTTAAATAGTATAGGTTCTCCTGCTTGAGCAGGGGTCTGGACTAGAAGGTCCCTTCCAGCTCATTCATTCTATTCAATTCTATTTCACCGACTTCAGAAGGATGGAAGCAGTGGTGGGTTTCAAATAAACCCACCACCGGTTCACCAAAAATATGAGCACATGCACATGCGCGCCCGCACAGCTTCCACATGACAAAGCAACCTTTTGGGGCCTGCTCCCCTCCATTTCTGCTCTCCAGGGCAGTGGCTGCTTCTCTCCGCTGCTGCTCTTCCTGGGAGAGCAGACTGCAATTTAGCAGCTGTGAGCTGCCATTTTGGGTCCTCTATGTCCCATCCGGAAAGCATTGCAGCACAGAGAAGCAGCAGCTATGTTGAATGTTGTTTCTCTCAGCTGCAGCGCTTTCTGGATGGGACTTAGAGGACCCAAAGTGGTGACTGACAACTGCTAAGTTGCAGTCTGCTCTCCCAGCAAGAGCAGCAGCAGAAAGAAGCAACTACCAATCCACAGAACACATGGAGCATTTCCGTAAGCAAAGCCTTGGTGGCAAGGGATGGAAAAAGTGGCTGCAAGATCTTTGCTGCAGCACTTTCCGGATGGATCTTCTTAAAGGCAAGAAGAACCGTCTGGTCCATTCCCAAAGCACTCCTGCATCCCCCCCCCGCACCCTATGTCCCTTCGGCCTAGTGCAGCAGGCTGCAGGCTGAATAAATTGCTTCGGCCTGTGGGGCCATAGTTTGAGACCAGAGGGGGCAGAGGCATGTGGGTGGAGCCCTGGGACAAGGCCAGAGCCAGGGAATGGCGTGTTCCCTGACCCAGTCAAGTTGAACAGCGAGCGAGCAGAGGCTCCGGGGCAAGGGTGGAGCTAGGGAATGGCATGTTCCCAAACCCAGCCGAGGCAAACAGCAAGCAGGCAGAGGCTCTGGGGCAAGGCCGAAACCAGGGAATCACACGTTCCCCGACCAAGGCGAAGGGCGAGCAAGCGCCATGCTTACCTTTGGTGAGCAGAACAGGTGAGGCATGGAGGCAAGGCACAGAGATTAGCTAGTGGTGAAAAGGCAAGATATATAGGGTGGAGAGGGCGGGGCCAGCTGGTGGTGCGATTGGTTCTATGAGAGCATGCTTTGCGCAGGGCAGCACTCAAAGACCGCCCTCAATGTCAGCGCTGGTGAGATTAGCTGTTTGTTAGCTCAGCTGAGGGGCGGCAATCCACTCTGCTGTGCGAATCAGCTGAGCTAAAAAACAAGGGGCAGGTAGGCGGGGCCAGCCAGAGGTGGTATTTGCCAGTTCTTCAAACTACTCAAAATTTCTGATACCAGGTCTCCCGAACCAGTCTGAACTGGCTGAATACCACCTCTGGATGGAAGGCTCACTCAACCTTGCGCCAGTGAGAATTTAATTCCTGGCAATCAGCATAATTAGCCTGCAACACTGCATTGTGCCACCACTGACAGGCAATGGTCCCAATCCCACACAGCTACCGCATTACAAACCACTGCAGCTTCCAGCCCTTCAGCTGATTTCTTTTAAGAGAGATAGATTTGCCAGGTTGAATTTTAAATACATGTTAAAGAAGGAAGAACTGTATTTGAGGGAAACAATTTTAAAATATATTCTGAAGATGGGAGATGCTTTTTAAGCAGAATACTTTTTAACATCCTGTTTGAATAGAGATGGGGAGGATCTATTTTTGAACATATTAAAGGTGAATGACTATACCCATTTTATGTACTCACTTGTGTTCCATGTATGTACCTTTTTTCTGTCAGTGTTTCTGGCACTTTTACAAGAGTTCCAAGGTTTCCAAGTCTTAAAGATTGCTTGATTTCTTCCTCTGTTTGTTGGAAATAAATTTATCTTTCAGCACTACTACTGTGAGGACTAGCTTATATGGACATTAACAACCACTTACATAACTCAAACTCTACAATTTAATCTAACTTGGCTGAAATTTAGCACAGCTACCAAAGAGCAATTGCTGCTATATATAGCAGGACTTCCTTCTGCCTGTACTAGTAGAACTAATAAAAGTGCTCATGCTGATTTTTTTATTTTTATTTTGAATTTTTGGGAAATGGCTCAATATGTATTCATAATGAAAAGAAATTACAAATGTATAGACTGCTTTTTTGCAGCTTGAGGTAGAGAATGGGTATGATCTTAAAACACAGCCTGAATATATTTGAATTATAGCTCCATGGTTCCTAACAAATATTCTTACCTTGTACTTAATTTTACAAGCAAACTTTTCACTATTACAGTATACAGATATTTTTTAAAAAAGAAATAATGAATTCAAGTTACTAGTTGGAATCTTAGGAACAACTTCATCTACTGAGTCACAATGACCCAGGAATTTTCATTTTTAAAAACTAAGTAAACTACATTTGGCATTTGAGAGTCTTAAAACTCCTGGAGATTAATCAGCTTTAGGGTTATACAAACTTAAATTATTGGAAAAGCCACAGCACTTTTCAAAGCCAATTTTATGGTCACAGTTGAAGTTTCATCTGAATACCGACCAATAACTTGGCATACTGTATTAAATGTCAAGAGAAAGAAGGTCCCTTCCTTTGAGCCAAAGGAGTAATTTAGATAGTATTTTAGCATAAGAAACTGAGCCAAAGGAAATTATGTAATAATTTAAGTGTACATGGAAATAATAGTAGAGAAAAGGTCATTCATTTCCATGTGAGCTAATTGAGTAACACGTGTTTTTCCAACATGGTTATATTTAATATATTCAATACACACTTGGCTCTCTTTTGGACAATTTCTGGAACTGCAAGAAAGATAATTTAGTGATAACTGAAATGACATTCAACAGCATCCACCCTCATTTTAAAGTAAAATAATAATAGAAATATCAATACTATCAATTAATAGTTCTAGTTTAGCAATATCAGTATCAATATGAATCAATATATTTAAAGATAAATTTGCATATTATTGAAATTTGCATATTATCTAATGCAACAATTCTTTACCTCATCAAACATTGTTTGACATGACAAAACTGAAATTTTGCATCCCACCTTATACACAGAACTAATAATGATATTGCTTAGATGATTTTTTAAACTTGTTTCTTTTTTTCAAAAAAGACAACAAAGATATAGATTGATCTCTATAGGTGTGAAAGTATCCAATTACAAGTTTCTTTTAAAAGAAATATGAATGAAGCAAAATTAGTCATCTTAATTTCAATGGGACACATATAATTCATTCAAATTAATGTGATTTAAAATGTATAACTGATGAAATAACAAAAACAAACATAAATAAAACCATAGTAATAAACATGATTAAAAACTTGGATAAAAAATTCTACAAATGAGTAGGTTAGTATAATTATGTTAATATAACTGATTTTATATCCTATCCCATTCTATTGCCAACAAATGTTAATTAACGAATACTGACCCTTCCTAATATGTGCACTTCCATAGATATTCGAAAGACTTCAGATTTAGTGCCACACACCCTACCAGAAGTCACTAGCTGTTAGTAAACCAGCTAGAAATCACAGTGCTTCTGTAACTAAGAATGATTTTGACAGACAACTAGACCCATAGAACAAATTGTGACAGTGCTCCCCTTGTGCTTGCACAAACACAACCAGTTCTTTAATATTATGTAGTCCCCACCTATGTTGTTTGCAAGCCCACAATTTGAGAACTTGAGGCTGAAATAGAAATAACAGTTTCATCATAACCTCACATTTTAAACCTATAAAAGCAAGCTTACCTCCAATGAACGGCTAGCCCTACAAGTTAGACAAGCCTAAGGAACCAAAGCCATATAGGTCAGTATTATTTTTATTGTAACACTTATAGTAAGTAAATATTGCAAGTATGACTGTGCTTCTTCTCCTTCACTTTATCTTACTGAGAATTAGCAAAGGGTCTGTCTGAGATATTTATTCAAACTAATTTCTTGACCTGCTTTCCAGACCCTCTTATCCAATTGTTGCCTTTCTAGCCACTCTTCCTCTTGTGCTTCAGAGCCATTCCTTATGCCCTCCACATGGACTTAGTCACAAAAATAAATTAGCTTATGGATATACAAAAGTGAAAAGTAGTTGCAAGATTATTTGATCCCAAATGAAATATAAAAACAGAAGATAATTTGGTTTGCCGACTACTTTCTCTATGACATTCCTGTATCTATAAGTTCCTTGTAAACGTATCTTCACAGAATAAGTGCAAATACAGTAAAGCAAACAGAATTCTATTTCTTTCTTCTTTATATATAAACCTGAAACAAATAGAATATTTCAAAATCTAATCACTTTTTCAGTTTTAGTATACCAGACAGGTTTTGTATTAAAAAATAGACTGGAAACAAGTTGGAAAGGAAAAAATTCAGTGTAGAATACTTTTAGCAACGTGGTAATAAAAGGTTAAAAAAACATTCTACCTACTTAACTCTCAAATTCATCTGTCAAAAATTCTAGAAATATAAGCATTCTTATAGCTAAAATATAACCTTAGCATCCTCTTCAGCTAGATAGCCTGTGTCTTTATGCAGCTTGCCTGGCTCAGATGTTGAAAGAATGGTTTGGTTAGTAATAGGATAGAACAGCCCATTTTAAAGAACATTATTCACCACAGGATCAGTATGAATACATCTAATGAACTTTTTTTCTGATTGAAATTTGAAAACTAGCATGGCCTTTTACAATATACATAGGATAAAAAGAAAATTCACATAATTCATATTCACTTATATTTCTTAAATATATATGTGCACGTACACACACACACACACACACACACACACACATATATACATACAAATTTATATTAAGCCTGCATTGTTATATACTTTTGGTTATTTTCTGAAACCCCAGCCATTCAATGAATAAGTTAAGACTTAAAGAATCTTCCTCCTACCTCTCCTTCTCTTTCATCAGGGTCCCTGGATTTCTCCTCTTAAAAATGCACCTATGTTGTGAATGCAACCCAAAGAAGTTCTTACCTTCTTCCAGGGTTCCAGTCTGCTCTGACGCAGGTGATGGGGGTGGAGAAGGAGGCAGGTTAGCTGTCTCTTCAACTGCTAGTGATTAAACAATAGAAAGAAAATACATCTATTAATTAATCTGAAACCCAAATATACTACTGCGGTCAAACTCCATTGTTTGAGTCTGCATCCAATAAATTGAATTTCATGAGTTCAATTGAATCTCATGAGTTTTTAATGTTGTACAATCACGTATCAATTCAATTCAAATAAGAGGACATTCAAACTCGTACATTTATGAACAAGTACAAACTTAAGCATCTCTTTGACCAGTTTACATCATTACAGAATAAACCACTTTTAAACAGGATTTAAAATAATGTATCACATCTTTTTACTCTTGTTTATGTAATATAGGAATATTAGCAATATTCATACAACTGTGATGTATATAGCAATGGTTAAAATAAGCAGATTAAAGCTGAATCCATAGGAAAATGAATCTACTATTTATAAAGGAATGGTATCTCTGTTCATAAATTATTATTCTTGTTAGCACCTTAGATAGATAATGATAGATAAACAGACAGACAGATAGCTTAAATGTGTGCTTAAGTTTCAGCATAAAATTAATTGAATGTGATTGCAGCTTTCTGCTCACAAAAAATGTTTTGTTCCTGAAAGCAGACACCTGTTTCAATTGATTCCTGTTCTATTTTCTGTTTTCTTAATATTTATGACAAGTCCCCAACTCTCAGGAAGTTTTTCTTTTAAACTTGCAGAGGTTTGGAGAATTGATTAAAATTTGGCAGTCAATCGATTTATGAGTGTGCATGAATATGTATAACAGTACAACCTTTGTTATTTATATACAGAAGCATTTACATCCCATTTTTTTCCATTTAGGAACTCAAGGCATTACATATGGAGACTCCAAACCTTATTCTCACAAGCCTGTGAGACTACAGTATATTGGTCCAAAGTAACCGCACAAGCAATATGACCAAACAGAGCCCTGAACCTAGATTCCTCACTTCCAATTTAACTTTTTAATCACTAATTCCACTGGGTTTTTTATCCTTTGCCCCCTTATTTTGATCACTGGGAAAGTTGAAAAATTACTTACGGAATAAATATCCTATTTTGAAGTTTGTATTATCCATATACAAAGCCATCAAAAATTGGACTGTGACATAACTCTACCTTTTCTAAAAAGCTGCAAAATAGTTCTAAGTGAGTCAGCTCTCAGGTTTTAAAAATGAAATAAACTACACAAATTTTAAAAATGGGAAAGCTGTAGTTCAACATCTTGTTTTCTAACACACCACAAACAAACATCTAAGATCATTTGCTTTACCTAAAGGTAATTGCGCTGGCTGATCTTTGAGCTGAGCTTCTTTTTCCTGTTCACTTTTCAGAACTGCCACAGCTTCAGCAGTTACTACTTGGACTATTCTTGCAGATACTTCTTCTGGGACAGGTGGAGGATTAGCAACAAGACAAACAAAAGCATGTTAATGATATAGGAAGCAATTAAGAAAGACATACAATTATTTTGGATCTAGGTTGCAATTTTGAAAGCACTTTTGCACTCTTTACTTATTATGTTCAACTTACCCTATTTTGCTAACTTAGGACTGCTGGTTTCTCAAAAAACCACCACTCTGTCTATATCTATCTATCTATCTATCTATCTATCTATCTATCTATCTATCTATCTATCTATCTATCTATCTATCTATCTACCAATCATCTGTCTGCCTGTCTGTCAAATTTCCACATATAATTATTATTAATTCTAGCCTCCATGACTAGCTTGACTTAAAAATGTTGAGGAATAGTACTTGTACTTCAGCTGGACAACCTAAATCCTTCAGATATTACTCCACTTCCTATTTGTTGCTTGTTGGGAACTGCTGTTCAGCAACATTGAAGACTCTTTATTTAGAACTTGATCTGTGGAAGGAAAGCATTATCCCTATCGAGCAATTAGTACTGAATAGACTTAATTGCTAATTTAAAAAAGTATGTACATACATTTTCTTAGGGTTCTGGGATTTGGTTAGTGAATGCAGGCAGGTTCAAGGTTAAATAAAAGCATGGCTGCTTAGTATTAGAATGAAGTGACCTGTCAACCATCTCATCAAATACGTTAGTTACATCTTTACCATCACCCACCCATCTTGCCCAATTGTGTTATTTGTCTATTGAAGAGAGATTTCAATCAGATTCAGTTGTCGAACTATGTACTACTCGTACTAACTATGGTTTTATTTAGGAAGAAGACCCCAGTATGCTTTGTTTAAGGTGACAAAATACTTTGGATTTTCACTTTAATACTAATGATCAGGAAAATCTCCCCTCCCTTAGACTCTTGTTTCAGTATCAGAAGGATCTCCCACATTTATAGAAAACTTGGCAAAAGTGTTTGTTATTGCCGTTTTAGATTTAGAGTGAGAGAACAGAAAAATTTCCCTCTATTTTTATACCTGCCTTAAAGAAACTCAAAGTGAAAAAAATTTCCTCCCCTATAATACTTAGTAACCCTAACATCATGACTTATTTCCAGAAAACTAAAAATGTAGGGAATTAATTGACCTTTGAAGTCCAGACAGAGGAAGCTACAGCTATGAGTGTTATTTTCTGGGTCTCCTCTGATCTTTTATAGGATGAGGACCCAAAGCATCTTGTCTCTGTTAAACATATAAACAAATCCAGGCCCAAGCTATACAGAGGTTTAAAGCAATCCTCAAAAGCTCAATTCAGGGCTTCAAAGCCTATTGGCAGCCAATGAAATGTTTTCAAGATAAAGTATTATTCTATTAAATCTAATTCTTTTATGAGTTCCCAAATAACATCAATTCCTTACTCATTCATGAATTTTGCAACAGCTTTTGATTATCTGATCATTTGTGTCTAGTTATTCCCTGAAATCCCTTTTACATCAAAATTAAAAATCCTGGTCCAGTTTATGATTAGTGCCACCTCCTTGTGTCCCCACAATGCCATTATACTGTATTTGCACAGGTTTGGGAAGACAAGCCATTTAACTATTAACTTGTCTGTTTGAGATACAAATGGTGCAAAGAAAGATTTTTCTGGATCTGCAGAGTGGGTAATTTTCAACTGGTAGGAACTCTTACCTCCTCATTCCCAACCAGGAAATCTACATCCCCTTCTATACCAAGTCACTGCAACATTCTGCAATACTCCATCATCTTTCCCAGTCTTTGGTGTGATTTTACCAGTTTGTTCTCTTCATAGCAATTCCTACATATAGCAATTTCTAAGGTATTATATCTTATAATAACAATTTAGTTTGGGAAAACAACTATTAGCAACTGGCCCTGTTCAGCAGACAAGATATTTCTTTAATTTCTTTATCCTGTCAAGGGATATCAGCTGTGGTTTTTTTTTAAATCCACCATTGTTAAAAGTTGAGTCCTTGATGCTGAATTTAGCTTCAACTCAGTAGAAATAACTATTACCTTCAAGGCCGATTTAACAGTATGACAAGCAATCTTTCTTGTTTAACAAAGCATGCTGTCTCTGCCTGGAAAACCTACATGACTTGACATTTGTCCTCCCAGAGAAAGTGATGATACTTTGCAAACAGGCTTGGTAATGGGTCATACATAACGAAATAAAATGCCCATATGTATGCCTGAAAGTATCTAACCTCTTCCTTCCTTTATCAGTTGGCAATGTATGTTGCTGCAGTTGCAACCCACACTGGAAGGCATCCACTGCAATCAAGCTGAGTGATAGATGCTCAATCAAAAACTGACAGCCATCATCTCACACTCTGCTGAGCATGGCTGGAAATAAATGTTGAAGCTTTCTTTTCTTTTAATAAAGTTTGTAACATGGATATGACAACTGGAGATGAGGTAAGATCTGGAGCCAATTGATACATCCAATCTTCTCGTGTTCCGGTTTGTCAGGCTTCGGAGGCGGCAGGAATTCGTGTTTGTGCGCGATCCCTGCCACACTCGCTGCTGGAGTGCCTTCGATCCAGTTGGATTGGGAGGCTATAGTTATCCTGTAGGGATAACTGAAGAGAGGGGAGATCCTGGCAGGGGTCTGGGGGCATCACAACCTCCTTCCCCAGCCGGCTTAATTCCCTTTTCCAAAGGCGGTGGAGCGGCAGTCAGCAATGGCCGCCACAAAGAACTTCTCAGCCGGACAAGTTTTGTGCAGGAGGAAGTTGAGAAAGTGAAAGCTTTTGGCTGAACTGGGACGACAAGCAACATCTAAATACCCTGGAACTTTGGCTCTTAAGTGATACATTGTTCCCAAGAGGATCGCAAAGCTGCGGTTGAAAGTGAAAGGGAAAGCTTTTTTTTCTCCTCACTTTCCTTCCCTACGGAGACAGCAGATGGAAATCGGAAATACCCGCTTTGGCAGCAGAAGGTACTAATTTTGAAAATTAAAGCCAAGGGGACATTAGATTTCTAAACACTGGCATTTAAAAATTAAAATCTTTTTGCTATAAGTGGGAAGGAAGAGAGGTAAATGATTTATACCAAGATTTGTTGAAGGAGACTGCTTGGAGCTTATAAGATCAGAGATTAAATTGCAATAAAACTTCCAAAAATTACCTTGGAATTGTGTAATTGAATTCTATCCCAGGAAGAGAAAGTATTAAAAGAAGAAAGTGCTAAATGAAACAGTTTGTGCTGACTTTGACTTTGTAAATTATCTTTTGAAAGACTAAAAAAACATTTGGATTGCTTAAATTTTTTTTTTCACAATGGTATCTGTTGAAGAATTGAAAATGGAATTTGAAAAGTTAAAAGAGGAAGAAGAAGGCAAGGGCCTTCTTCTGTCATACTTCAACCAGTGATTACAGGAAAAAGTTTGTATTAAAGAGAAAAGATAAATAGATAATTGAAAAAGAACGGAAAAAAGATACAAGTATAATGATTTAAATTGAGATTAAATAAATAAAATAGAATTAAGAGAGTGAAAAGAGGGGAGAAGACATATGGAAAATATAGAATGTTAAATAAGATATGAAATAGTATATAAGGTGAGCATGAATTTGATTTATGTCTGTACAAAAAGTTGTAACCCGGGGTTAAGCCGCTTTCTAAAAAGAAGTTTTATGTCTTTATGTTATATATTTTGTTTGTTTATGTTTGTTTATTGAGAACTAATAATGTTGGATAAGAACATATGAAACAGTAATAATATGAAATATAGTAATATGAAATAGATGAAAGTATAAGTTTAATGAATAAAATTGAACAGAAGTAAAGGAAGAAACAGTGAGAAGTTGGAAAAAGAGTAATAAGATATGAAGTTGAATACATAAGATGCATATTAAATTGTGTTTGTATGGAAATGTGATAATTTAGAATTATGTTGTACTTAAATAAGATGTTTTATTTGTTTTGTTAAGTACTTCTTAGAAAAGATGTTCTATGTTCTTACGTTTTATGTTTTGTTTGTATGTGTATTGTCTTTGAAAATTAATAAAATTTGCTTTAAAAAAAAAAAGATACATCCAATCTTCTCTACAGCATGTATTTGTTGCTGAACTTTCAGCCCTAGGGACTTTCAAACTCTCTTAAGTTGAGCTTAATATTGGAAAAGATGCGAATGGTTTTGGAAGTGTACAAAGAAGTGTCAGGGAGGATTTATTGTCTATCAACATTTTGCCCCTTGGATGATCTAGCAGAATAGCCTTAGCTTTATTCTATACCACAGAAATTTGTCAGTCCTTGCCACTGTCAGAAAATTCTGCCTTGAACAAACCCACAGCAGACATACCACTGTGTTAGCCTGAGCAAACTGCAACTCCTCAGAATTCTGTTTACTGGCAGAGAAATTGGGTGTGTGGTGGTGAATAGTCCAATATTTACGTAATTGTTGCAGTGGTGGGCTCTCATTCTTTTAGTGCATTGGCTACTAAGAAGAGAAGAAACAATTTGTAACAACAGTTGAGATAGTAGAAATAATAAATAGACTGAATAGAGTGTACAAGGCCAGTACACTCCCCCCTCCAGATCTCAGTATCAAGTATAATAAAAATAGTCATTGCCGTTTCTTCAGATTCTGTTTGTTTTTCATTCTAAATATTATGCCTCTAACTCATGCAGCAGTCATGACCTGCAGCTGTTTTTCCTGTCACCATCATTAGAGTTATTATGAGCATGGCTTTCAAAAGGCTCCAATTTTCTTGATTTTCTTCTTGCAATCCCAAATCACTAAATATCTTTTGGGTACTAGTTGCAATTATCTAAGATGTTACTTATTCCACTATCAAACTTTGGCCTTGCAGCCATGTCCAGTTTCCAATAACTGAGGTGTTTCATGACCCAAATCAGAATAGAGATGGGGAGAAAGTTGCTGGCTGTAGTGGTACTGGAGAAGCAGTTTTGTTTCTTAATATATTATATTTTTATTTAATCTTATTTAATATAAACCATCCAAATAAAACAAAATAAATTGCCATTTTTAATCAAT